TTGCCTGAAGATTCTTTAAATTTTCTCGGGTATCATGATGTTCGAGGATCCCTTGAGGATAAGTATCAGCCACATACATGCATATATCTGTCCGCCATTCTGTAAGCTAATAAAGCTCTAGCGAGCTTCTGTCTCAGCCGTCTTAGCAGCCACGCACTCTTCCTGTCTTCTAGACGGTCAGCCGGACACGTGGGAAATTTCCATCCTTCGGTGGCGAGAGGCACTAGTTGCGAAGTCATACGTTAATTCAGACCTCAAGTCCGCAACGGCCGTTTTGGCGAGGGCATGGCTCGCTAAGGTAGACCTTGTGAGACAGAGCGTAGAGGATCACCACGAGGATCGTAGCGACACGGCGAGAATCGCGAGAGCACCATGTAGCCTAGCTATGCACTGTGCTTCTTGTACTGGTACATCCATCTGGCGACATGAGTAGCGAAGATAATGCCGATGTTAATAGTATTAGGCCTTCGCATTGTTGCACATTTAGGATTACGCATCGCATTCGCAACCGGCAGCGGGTGGATTTAAGTGATTTAAGTGTGAGGAATTCTAATTGTAAGCGAAAATCCTTGGCGCCAAGATGCTTCTATGTAATACGGTTATCGATAAACCTGTCTTATCGATAATATCCAATAAGAATTACATAAGGAAACCTCATTCCGACACAGGCACGTGTCCTCAGGCCATTCCAGATCTTGCCAAGGGGAAGGACAGGAAGGAGTACCGGGTGACCTATCAGCTCATCAGCATTTCATCTAGATTTCGCGTTAGTGGATCGAGTCACTTTTATTCGTCGAGACATTAGAAATCTTTAATGACTGACTTTAATGACAGCATACCTGGCAATTGAGAAGCGCATCAAAACATCCGATGATCATGCTTTAACTTCAAACTCGCATTGTTTTGTTTTGTTTTGTGATCTTCGCCATTCGAGATTCGAGAGGGTAGTAATTCAATTTTTTTCTTCCAACAGAGAAGCATTCTTGGAATTGCCGTGTGCCCTCTTCTCTGCTGGTCTTGAGAACGGTGGGGGAATTTCACCGATTTATTTCCTCTCACATGCATTCTTCTGTATTCCCCTGCCGGTGATGCCCTTGCTAGGCATGGGCAGTTGGATGTTGGCGCCCTCGCACAGCTCAACCAATCATGGCCCTCTTGCTAGGTTGATTGTGCTATTCGCCTTACTGTTATCATCATGGTTAGGTGTAGTAGAGGCCATGCGCCCCAGTCGCGTCGCCGAGCTGAGGCAGGAGACGGTCGATATGTTCTATCACGGGTTCGATAATTACATGGAGATCGCGTTCCCGGAAGATGAGGTATGCATAGATTGACTCAAGTAGCATTGTTTGTTTGTGCATTAGCTTATACATCCCTTTAAATTACAGTTACGGCCCGTTTCCTGCACGCCGTTAACTCGAGATCCCCTCAACCCGAGGAACATTGCACTAAATGACGTCCTCGGGAACTACTCCCTAACCCTCATCGACAGTCTTTCATCTCTCGCGATCCTTGCCTCCGCGCCACCTGATGACCAAGATACCGGGCCGCAAGCCTTGAGCGATTTCCAAGATGGTGTTGTTGCATTGATAGTACAGTACGGTGATGGACGGCCCGGCCCGTCAGGTCAGGGTGTTCGAGGTCGCGGGTTTGACGTGGACAGCAAGGTCCAAGTGTTTGAAACAGTCATAAGGGGTGTTGGTGGACTGCTTAGCGCCCATCTGTTTGCCGTTGGAGACTTGCCCATAGCTGGGTATGAACCACGGAGGTTTCCTGATGAGGAAGACGATATCGAAAAACACCCTATTCCTTGGCCGAACGGCTTTAAGTATGATGGGCAACTATTGCGACTTGCCTTGGACCTAGCCCAGCGCTTGCTTCCAGCTTTCTATACAAAGACTGGACTGCCTTATCCACGTGTTAATCTGCGTCACGGGATACCTTTCTACCTGAACTCACCACTCCATGACAATGTCGGCCTAGACCCGAAGCCTGCCGAAGATTCGCCAGAGATTACCGAAACTTGCAGTGCTGGGGCAGGTAGTTTAGTGCTCGAGTTCACTGTGTTGAGTCGTCTTACTGGAGACCCGAGATTTGAGCAAGCAGCTAAGAGGGCCTTCTGGGCCGTCTGGTCAAGAAGAAGCGACATTGGACTCATCGGAGCTGGTGTGGATGCTGAAGGCGGTCATTGGATCGGAGGATTCTCCGGCATTGGCGCGGGTATCGATAGCTTCTTCGAATATGCCCTGAAGACTCATATCCTACTATCAGGTCATGAGCTGCCCAATCGTACCTTACCTCTAGTTCCGGAGGGGGATTGGCTTGACCCCAATCAGATCTATCAACCGCTCTCAGACGAGGACAACTCTGCCGACTCGTTCCTACAAGCCTGGCACCATGCTCATGCTGCGATCAAGCGACATCTCTACTCAGGCCTGCATCATCCGCACTACGTGAATGCGCACATGTCGACGGGGTCGCCGCAAGCCTATTGGATTGATAGCCTAGGCGCATATTACTCTGGCCTGCTTGCGCTTGCTGGTGAGCTCGATGAGGCCATTGAGACACATTTGGTGTACACAGCTCTTTGGACCCGCTACTCTGCCCTCCCGGAGCGATGGTCTGTCCGCGACGGGAACGTCGAAGGTGGACTTGGCTGGTGGCCAGGTCGACCAGAGTTTATTGAGTCCACCTACCATCTGTATCGTGCTACTCGAGACCCTTGGTACCTTTACGCGGGCGAAATGGTTCTGAAAGATATCAATAGGCGATGCTGGACGAAATGCGGGTGGTCTGGCCTTCAAGACGTGCGCACTGGCGAGAAGAGTGACCGCATGGAGAGCTTCTTCCTTGGAGAGACTGCAAAGTATCTGTATCTTCTCTTTGATCCTGATCATCCCCTAAACAAGCTCGATGCTGCCTACGTGTTTACTACGGAAGGACATCCGTTGATTATCCCTCGAAAGAAAAGCCACAGTCCCGTGCGCAAATCGTCGCCGGAAAAGGCTGTTCAATCCTACTTCAACACTCGATTTACTAGTACGTGTCCTCGCCCGCCCAAGCTACCGCCGTTGTCTAGCTCTGCCACCGCTGCGAGACCAGACCTTTACAACGCGGCGACTTTGATTAGGCTTCATCAGATTCCGAACATACACAGCGGATCACAAGATTCGATCGCAAAGTTAGGAGAATCCGAGTCACAGACACAGCTACCCGAGAGACCAAGAGAAAACTACACTTACTTTCCATGGACATTACCGCCTTCCATGCTCCCGATGGATGGGGTCTGTGCCGTGTCAAAACAGGCACAAACTTCGGTAATCGAGTTCCCTTCTAATACGCAGCAATCTGTGGGCAGTGCTTTCAACCTTATGTTTGGCGGGCACAACCTTGTCCGCATGGGGAGCGAGGGCATTGCCATTAACAGCCTCTCCGGGCTAAAAATAGCCTTGGTTGTGGAGGAGCCCCCAGAGACGACCGAACGAGCTTGGAGAGTCTACAGCATTGGTAACCTAGCACTAGGCCGAGATGAGAAGGTGTTCATTGCCCGCGATGTCCTTGAAGACATGTCAGACCCTCTATTCCATCGTGTCCGGGACTCTCTCAACGTCGACCTTCTTTTGCAGATCGAGGTTCCCAAAGAGCCAGTTGAACATAACTCGACATCCACGGAACCGGAGCCTTCTTTCGAAGATGCCATCGACCTTGATGAATCTGTCGTCGCGAACCCCAATTTCATCAACTCGTTCCTACAGCAGATCACCTCTGTCTTGCGAGAGCCCTCTGCTACCTTCGGGCCCGAGCCAGTGCCGAAACCAGTGTACAAGTACATAGAGCTACCAGCAATCACACCATTTGGGATAGGTGCGGCTCCCTTACCTGACGTCCGGGAAGCCCCCAATCCGACGACGGTGGCATACATCGAATCGCTATCCTGGCAGCGCATCTACTTCGCGGGCCATGCATGCGAGGGCAAGCTACCTGACGCGGCCCCGAAGCTGCACCAGGTGATCGTGATGCGGCGAGGCGGGTGCTCGTTCTCGGAGAAGCTCGCTAACATCCCGTCGTTCGCGCCGCACAGCAACGCGCTGCAGCTCGTGGTCGTGGTGTCAGACGACAAGGACTACCATAGGGAAGACGAGCAAGACACGTGGGGGTTCAATTATATAAGGCCGCTACTCGACGAGCCGCAAAAAACGCCCGCAGGCATCCCGAGGCACCACCCGATCGCCATGCTGATGACGGGCGGCGGCCAGGAGGCGTACGATGTGCTGAAGACGACGCGGAGTATTGGCTTAAGGAGGAGATACCACGTCGAGAGCCAGGGGTTGAAGATCAATAACTTGGTCGTGCTTTGATAAGTCAGGTACCTACATGTAGATAAGGTGCAGATGAGATGTACATAGGTACGAAGTTACGATATTGGACAGCGAGAAGCATAGCATGAGTGGCGCAAGCCGTGGTTTTTCTTCCTGTGTTATAGTCAAAAGAGAAGTATATAGGGCGAATGAGTGTAGATATTCGGCGTGGGCGTTTAGCCAGAGCCGCGGAATGGAAGACTTGGTAAAACTGTTGTCTATTTCGGTTGCATGTTGTGCATAGCTCGCCTGTTGCGCGAGACAGCTCTTACTCAAACGTCAATTAAGACGGACGATGGCGGACTCGAATCCTGCATCGCTAATTTAAAACATCTTCAAGCACCGCTTCTGTTTGTTGGTCCGGCTCGTTTAGCAATATACACAAAGTACCTAGGTAGATAGGGGAAGTATGACTCTATTTCATGCTCCTCCTAACGATGGAAAATAAATAAAGTGCTGCAGATTGCACCTGCCTTCTGGCAGCTGCCACTGCTAGTATTTAGCCCACACTCTATTCGCTACTAGCTTCTAATCGTTAAGCACGTGCATCCAAACATGATATTGCCTCCCAGTATAAAAATATCAACAAAAATCGCAACCGAGATGCCAAAAAGATGGTATGTGAGGATTCTAACCTCTCATTGATGGACTCGCGGGGAATCGAACCCCGGACCACTCACATGCTGGTGAAGATCTCACAACGGAGTCTCTCACATGCTAAGCGAGTATTATACCACTAAACCACAAGCCCTGATAGGGGCCAGAAGCCCCAAGGATGCCCCACTGCAAGCCCATTGGAAACCCAGATTGGGGGGGAGATGATTGAGTCCAAGTAAAAGCGTCTTATATTCCGTGTGTGCGTTGAGGACGCAGATTTTGCCCTGGCCCCTAACAGACCAAGACCAAGTGGAGTTCGCTAGGTTAGTGCCGTCTGTGTCAATCTACTATGGAAGTCTAGATGGCTAGCCACATTAAATGCAATTCAAAGACTTCTCTAAAATTCGTGTTCGAGCTGCTGACTAAGTAAAATACGCCTTGAGAAATGTAAACGAAGTCATTGACAAAGCTTCACATGCCTTTGAGAGTTCAGGAATATCCACCCAGTCAATTTGACAAAGTCACAGGGAACCATGATAAACTCGCATGTGAAAGTAGGTACATATGCAGGCTGATAACTAGGTATTGTAACTTACTCAGCTTAGCTATCTTAGGTGACTACTTGCTTCTCAGAGTCCATTGTTAAAAGAGGACCTATGATTAAACTCAAGCTATCACCAAGCTCTTATGTAGGTTTACCTAGTAAGCTTCGAGACAGACACAAGCTAGCTACCTAGAAACTTGAAGCAGGAACATAAGACTCAGATAATTCTACTCAGCCATTTTGTCGTTTTAATTAACAACTCGAAATATTTCCAATACGGTTTATGATTGACCTCGTGATGTTACGTGAGAGAGAAATAGCTCCCTCGGGTATCGAACGATATGTTAGCCGGGCCTATTTATATCGCAGAGGCTCTACTGTGTACTGTGTCCAAGCTTGGAGAACCGCTGACTCGATTCAGACATTAATACGAGTCATAAGCCGTGCCGCTCTCGTAGGGCTCGAGATAACTAAATCGCACGTTGAAATGTACAAGCTAGGACAAGTTCGCAATAAGAAAGTACGAAACGGGATGTCAGTTTGGTCTCGGCCGATTCTAGCTCGACATTCTAGCTCGACACCCATGCTCGATGCTGACCTGGTATGATATCACAATTGAGCTCACTGCTACGAAGTACACAGGAAACCGGTGAGGAATATTCATCAGCCGCAGTATCGCAATTGGCTACTGGAGAAAGTTCATGGCAAATGAGAATTCGGCCGAAGCCGTACGTGGTACCGAAAAGCAAGAACTTCCAGAAGCCGTGGCTGCTGACACGCTGGGCCTAGGTATTAGTCCGGAACGATGGCTTCACATGAAACTTGTGGAAAAAAGATGGCTGGTGGAAAAGAAAGCTGCGATAAGAAGGTGCGATATAGAGACAAGCTTGCATTATCAGACAGCCGCATCTGCTGTCTGTGCAGATACGAGAAACCAGCCGAATAGGTAGCTCCACGCTATATTCGCCTGGCTTGGCGGCATTGAAGCCGCATCCGCCAAGTGGAAGTTGCCCAGGCGATATCTGACGATGTAGATAGCCTAATAAATTTAATCACCTCGTAAAATCTAATAGTCTCAACAAGTTGCAAAGGACCAAGTCAATTAAGAGGACTTCAATTTTGTAGTTGTATTGACGGGTTACCAAAATGGCTCCCTAGCTCCCTAGCTCCCTAGATAAATTTTTCCAACAGTTGGGGTATTTTTCTCGAAGACGGTATGTAACGTCGTCCATGTCGAGACCCATGTCGCATGTAACGCCAAATAACTCCACCGGGATGCAATGCAGATTGTTTTGTTCCTCATCCTCATTCCTATCGTTCAGATGTAAAGTCTTGATTCGACCATCGATGATAACAAGCCGTATCTCAAGCTTCTCAAGCGGCGAGTGCCCCACTTCTCAACGCCGTGCGTCCGATAATGCCAGATGCTTAAACCACTTAGAAAAAACGCCGATATCATGCTAAAGCCTTGGTGCTGTGTTAGGTGCTCTCTGGTGGGATCTGGTGGGAGAAACACCATGCCCGCGTCATCATCGTTTTTCGTTGTACTTGACTGCTGAGCTGTCTGGTTCCTCCGCCCGTCCCATCGCAATCACGACTGTGTTTTTGCAGACTCCGTAGCTGCAGCATTCTTCAGCTGGCATCGCTCCGCTGAGAATTGCGTCTCGTTTTGACTAGATGTGTGTTAGTGATGATAGGATAATTTGGAAGCTTTTTGAATAGACCTACGTCTGGGCAGCGGATGGGCGACGCCGCTCCTAGTAATGAGAAAGTCAAGATGAGTGATATTATGAAATTGAACTGCATCGTGAACGATCTCGTTGCGCTGTGCGCTAGAAGTATCCAAGCGTGTAGGAAGAAACTGAAAACCGGAGAGCTGAGCGGTATTTGACAGCCAAGTTGGTAAGGATCTGTGTAAATTCCGATGTTGTTGGAATCCTTCTTGACGATCACTTTTTAATTTAATAATAAACGTAGCGAGCGGCGTCAACTAACACTGATACATATATGAGAGGAGGATCATATCAATTAAAATGCCCGCCCTTGAAAATGAGCAGTGGCACTTCGCAATATAAAGAAAACACAGGATGGATACCACTAGGGTAGGGTGGTGCCAGAACTCGGACATATATGCTGTATCTTTTGGCCCTTGCACGCCACAACAAACAGCCAACCTCGAGCCGAGTGTTCGATTACAGTAATAGGTACATTACGGCTATCGCAGCAAAAAAAGATACGGCTAGACTTGAGGCGGCTGAAGGGCCCAGTCATCTACACCAGACTCTGTGGCTGTGGTTCCATTACTACCTAGCAGCCCTAGGTAGGCATATGACGAATTGCGGGTTGGAATTTTCGCCAGATAACGACCAACATGGCTAGGTACATAACATGGCAGACGCGAGTCAAAGCTACTGACGGATCTCGTCATTTCCGTGCCAGTGGCTGTGAGTGTAAAACATGACGGGAGGTACCTAGAAAGAGAGGCGCGTGGCTGCGGACTGGCATTTCGCTGAAGATCCCACCAACCTGACGACCTAAAATTTTGCCGAGCTTTGCTAGAAATACCTTACTCGTATCGGCTAGTTTAGTGAACAGAGGTTGAAAGAACCACGGCGTAATTAGATACGAGAAGACAATCTAGAAACGAGAAATGGCAATATGAGACTTAGGTAATAAGTAATAGAAGTAATAGCCTTTTGAGCCGACCTTACCGTAAATCTCGTAGAGAAAAGGAAGGTTGCGATTGGACAGGTGTTGATGACAGAAGTTTCGAAGACAAAAAATAGAAACAAGCAAACGGCCGCTAACCTTGTTCGGGTAGCGAGGCACCAGGGAGGCGTGCTGGATGACCAGGGGGAGCTTGTGGCTAAGAGCTCCGGACGTGCTTATGTAATAAAGATAGCCCTTGATGTATCATATTCTTTATCCGTCCTTTCCATCGTATCCTTCACATATGATAACGGCTCTACGTATTTCAATCAGTCCACTCAAACTCAGATATTACAATTGCAAAGAGTTTTTCATACCTAGGGCATCCTCATGAGTCATCACGATACCCGTGGTGGCATACACCAGACGGGTCTCCTTTGACCATGTCTGCAGGTATGTACCTAGGCTTAAGAGAATGAGCACTCCAAGTCGTACGTACTTTCATGCCTCTTGTCCAAGGACACAACAACTACCCCAAAGATATAAGCAACTTGGTGGTTCTCTCCTATGCTCTTTAAAAGTAGGAAGAGAAAGACTACCTACCTAGGTAGGTACCTAGAGACTCCATAGATTTAAAGAATTGCAACTTCTTATATCTAAACGTACGTTAGGGAATGGTGCAGGTAACCCCTTCGCGCAACCCGAGATCCAGCAAAAATGACCCTTAAAGCTACCTACCTAGGTAGGTACCTATATAAAGAAGCGACCTAGCTACATGCTCAACTTCTATCCCTAAGGTAGGTATGTAAGCTAACCACTCATTCATCTACCTTCTTCTCTAAACTACTACACAGCTATCACACATATCATTCGTTTGTATATCGTCAATATGTCGCCAAAAACACAGTCGGCCAACGGGCAATCGGCCAACGAGAATGGAGTCAATGGGGGAGTCAACGGGGGTCCGTCCTCACCTCATAATGCAGTTGGCCCATCTCCGCCATCTACAACTCCCCCTCCCCAGGTAGTCACTAACCCGGCTCCACCTCACGAGGCATCCATTCCGCCTCATTCGCCTCAAGGGGTAGATAATTCTGGCTCGATCTTAAAAGAACGTGTTTACATGCCTCCTTCTCGTCGTCTCGGCACCCTTACACGACGTTTATCTAATGTTAATCTCGGTGACAGTGCATCTCAACCACACTTTCCGCACCACACCGTCGAGTTCTCATTCAGTTATCAAAACCCACAGAATCCGCAGAATGTAGGTAGCATATTTCGCTGTCCGGCAGTGCCAGAAGGCCCACGTTAGGCTCTGAGGACCGGGTACGGCCGCGGAGGGAATCACGTAAAATTTAGCGACGTAAGTTTAATATCTACGTCCATCGGCGTGTTGACGCAGAGTACCTTTCCAACCGTCAACTAATTTCCGTAGACCAGAAGCCAAGATAGCAGCTTTCCCTTTCCATTCGGGAACTGTGAACTTGAACAATTGCTCTACCTCCCACGAAGATGGTTTACCTCTATTGTTTACGATCACAAGCGAACTCCGGTCATTTCCTTTCGACCAGATACTCGAACTACTATATCACGTATTACTCCTAAGCTGGTGGCCAAGTGGGGAAAAAACGTCACCAAAGCAGAGGCAGATATGTTATTTACTCTCCAGAAAGCGTCTTTTGCACCCAATGTTCACTGGGCCTTTGAAGATCCACGTACCGGATATTGGATCATCGTGATGGACTACATCGATGGCAAGGCCTTGATGGACATCTGGGGTCACCTCTCCGACATAAAGAAACACGATATCTCTCATCGAATTGCCACAATAACCCGAACAATGCAAGAGAAAACGTCCAGCATCATTGGTCCGGCGGGGTCTCATCCCTCTTTAGCTTTTGCGCACAGGAACCGTGTTCCTCCACTTGCGATGAACGGAGATACATTCACAGACCACATCA